GGAATCGATGTATCGTACCAATTAAAACTAAATTAAAAGCAATGAAAACTTTACTGGTCCGCATACAAACCCTTGAGGCACTTCTCCTTCACAAAAATCTAAATTTGAAAGGACACACTTTATTACTTGGCTTGTGATTAATTGCTAAAATAATGACTGTTTTCATACAGGTTTCCTCTTGTTTTACCATGTTATACCAAATAAGTGTTAAACATTTTAGCAGATTAAAAAAAATCAGGTTGGTTTCGTAACGTTTTCATCTAAAAACTGATTAAAACATTGTTCGTGTTTAAAGGTCTCTTCTTTTTTTATTGTACATACTATGCATATATATATATATATATATATATATATATATATATATATATATATATATATATATATATATATATATATATATATATATATATATATATATATATATATATATATATATATATATATATATATATATATATATATATATATATATATATATATATATATATATATATATATATATATATATATATATATATATATATACATATATATATATATATATATATATATATATATATATATATATACATATATATATATACATATACATATATATATATATATATATATATATATATATATATATATATATATATATTTACATATATATATATATTTAATTACAAGGTTGGGCCAGTTTCCGAATTTGTACTTTAAATTCTTATTTTAAAAAAGCGCTATACCAATAAATGTTTGGTTTTCAATGCTGTTAGCCATTTACACTCACCGACAGCATTGAAGCAGTGGATGTTCTGTGCACAGGAGCTCTTTTGGGAGATGTGGATGTTCTCCAGCGGCTGCTCACTACTGTTGCTCAGTGTCAGCTGCAGAGACACCATGCTGCTGTCATAAATACAGGGCTGCCGGGTGAAGCGGTATTGGCCGGACAGTCCTTTACCCGTCATCCTGTGGAGCAGCTCATAGGATGTTTCCGGCACAAACACTGGAGAACTGGCCTGGAGGGAACACACACACACAAGAGACTAAGTCAAACTAACAAGCAGGAAAATACAAAACAATAAAGATGAACAGAACTTTTTTTTTAAATTAAAACTAAACAAAAAACAAACTAAATTGAAACAAAACAAAACGAAATTATACAGAACGAAATCGGAAATGGAACCAGAGACAAAACTGAAACTGAAAATAGAACCAAACAGGAAATGAAACCAAACCGGAAACAAAACAAAACAAAATGAAACAAAACCAAACCAGAAACAAAACAAAACTATAAATGAAACCAAACTAAAAACGAAACGAAAAAATAAATAAAAACTAAATCGAAAACAAAAACAAAACTAAACTAAAAGAAACAAAACAAAATGAAGCCAAATAAAACAACATGAAACCAACCCAAAAAGGAAACAAAACAAAACACGAAACAAAACCCAGAAATTAAAGAAAACCCGAAACAAATGCAGAAATAAAACAAAACAATTTGAAACAAAAATGTAAATGAAACCAAACCAGAAAAAAAAAACATAATAAAACAAAAACCGGAAAGAAAACAAAATTAAACAAAACATGAAACAAAACAAAACCCAGAAATGAAACAAAACAAAACCCAGAAAAGTAACAAAAATACTGAAACGAAACAAAACAAAACCAGAAACAAAACAAAAAAGGAAAAAAACAAAACCCAGAAATAAAACAAAACTGGAAACAAAACAAAACAAAAACTTTTATTATATTTTGTTGCTGCATGTTTGCTGTCATGTCTTGTACTGTTCCAGTCATATCCCGTGCCCTGACTTCTCTGGCCTGCCAGTCTGAAGTTTACGTGGCTTGCTGCAGTATCTAGCTCTGGTTTTGACCACCATTGCTCTGCTCTTGGCCAGCTGTTCATTTTGGTGCCATCTTGTTCCTACCACTGGCTTCCCTGTGTTATTGCCCCTACTGTTGGGACCTTGTCACCCTCTTGTCTGTCTACTTGTGCCTAATTCCATCAATAAAACCCTTTGTATTGTTCATTGCTGAAACTGGGTACGCTTTCTTGCAACCAAACGTGTTTGTGAAAACATTTTATTTTGCAACTGATGAAATAATATTAAAAAAATAATATATATATATATATATATATATATATATATATATATATATATATATATATATATATATATATATATATATATATATATATATATATATATATATATATATATATATATATAT